GCTAGGGATACACTCCCTTATCTCAACTCTTAGGGCAAAACTATAGACTATGTTAAACATAATCTATACTAGACAGATCAAGCAAGAATCAAGCAAAGAACATTCCCATGATTCAACAGAGTTCCTGATTCCTCAGTCAAAATTTGAGGCAAATCGGTCAAGGGGCTCTCAAGTGTCATGATCTGACATGCAAATAAAATCAGACAGACAAACAGAGATTACAACTTTCTGTATAACATTTTTTTTGGCTGTCTATATGCTATTTATGAATTTCACAAAGTTGGTATATAAATCAATGTATAGTAAGGAATTAAAGGAATTTTTACAAACTTTAGAAAGTTTATAAATACTTAATGTTTCCATTGGTATACATTCTAACACTTTGCTTCAGAATTTTAGACAACAGAATCTTTTCAAAATATCAAAATAACGTTTTCAAAGTCCAGAACAGAAGTGCATCTTTGACTATGAAAACATTTTATGTACAATTCTTTTTCAGAATCAAAAAAAAGTTATTTTCATTCCATTTTCTGTACACTGTATTTTAGTTTATAGTATATTCAGCTGAAATTGAGATTCACTTTTAAAATATTTATTTTGTATTGAGCTACATTTGAAACTGTGACACCTTACCTTTTATAAACTCTGGAAGATTGGAATAGAAATTTCTCCATGCGAGATCAACCTTCATCTTCTCACAAACAGATTCAGCGTTCTCGAAATGAATCTCATAATCCCCATTCTGGGCCATCTCATCAAGGGCAACTTTAATTGATGAATCAAAAATCGGTTCAATGTACTTGCCCAATTCATCGTAACTGTTCTTATAACTAGGGTTCAGGCATGATATGAAAAGTGCCCTTGGTTTCTCAACAGACACCTTCTTCTCACTTAAGTATCTTCTCATTTTCTCTACAGACAGTAGAGTTTTCCCACTTCCAAACTGACCACACACTACAGTTCTAGGGTGATCATCAGATAGGAATGTTACTTGGTCTTGGCTCCAGAACAGCATACTGGTAAGTGATCCAGCAGC